AAAAAGTCGCAGATTCAATAGATCGCAAATAAATCTCTCCATGTTACAAATGAAGATTTCGTCGTCCAGAAGTAGACCAGAATTTCCAGAGAAACCTACCTCTATCGGCTGAATAGGATAAAGTGGAGGCATAAGCGGTGTGGTTTTGAACGGCAGTTGTTTCAAAGGTTCGCAAGATATTCTTTCCATCAAAGATACGAGCAGTGCATCTTGTGTCAAGCTATAACAAGTGATAACAGAAAAAAAGACCCAGTTATTAAAAATGTAGGCAGCGTACTCATGTAAACTGTTGTCATCAGGGTCTGGATAAGGTAGGATTGACGGAATAGTGACCATGTCAAGATGCTCAGGCCAACGTGCTGTTTGTTTCACATAGAACTGTTCCGCTTCAGCGAAGCCGAGATTGGCCTACAAACGTTAATTGCAGCATACATACATTTTCGTTTCCGAGTTTCCTTTTTGCCTTGGGAAGGAACCCTGATAAAATAGAAAAGAAAAGCAAGCAGTTAAAAGAGACACTGAAGTGGGAAACGAAAAATTTGTGGTCTAGCGTTCATATAGAATAAATATACAGAAGTCATGAAAAAACGCACATCATTCAAAGATCCACCAGCGAGAAGATCAATGGCGCTCATATTGGCGAATTCAGAGGTTTTTCCATTCAAAATCCTGAGAACAATAGAACGTTCAATGCCAATTGGGAGCGGGTACGTGACACAAATGTCATCAACAACTTTTGACTCTACCTGAAATGAACTATAGAAGCTTAGCAAATACATCGCTATAAATTAGAATTGTGAAAAGATTGGTGATAAGCGGAGTAGAACGAACCAGGTTAAGGAAAAAAGACATAAATGGATGGCCTAATATATCTTCAATCCCACCAGGATTTCTGCGCCGAAGTCCTACTTCAATGTCACGGACCCTGAAACATCTTACGAATACCTACAGGAAACATGCAAAAGCAGCATTTAAAAAGCTTAGATAATGGTTGCTCTTACCTATAGATCAAATAAACGGTAATGATTTTGCTAGCAATGTCATCTGTAGGCGCTAAATCGTCGTAAATCGCCAACAGTGCCATTCCAACCACAAGCGAACATCGCTCTTTGAAGATCTATTTAAGGTTCTCAAATAGTGAAATCCATGAATGAAACCAACT